TTTTTTGTAATGATTTGTGTCTTGAATCCCTAAACACGTGTGTATTCAATTTAGGCCCGTTGGGAAAAAAACTTCATTTCTTATACCAAAAGACCCCGTTTTTTATAGTTGTTAGAAATGGAGTCGGTATGAGAATTAGCTGAATAAAATACAACGTTGAATTCAACGTTTAATTTAATTCAGCTTAATCATTCATTATTAAACGGAAAAAATAACCTTTGGACGTCCATAGGACGTCCATCGTGGACTTTTGAATAAACCGTTTTGGACGTCCTTGAACGTATTTTAAACGTCCGATATAGACGGACGAAAGTCGTTTCATTTGGTACGTCCAAAGAGCGTCCGAGGACATAAATTATGGACGTCCGAACGGACCGGTATGGACGTCCTTGGACGCCCGCGTGCCCACTGGGAATATACAACAAACATCTAAAGATCCTATGGCATTAGTTATGATTGCTATGGATAATAATTTAATCGATAAAGATTCTGTAAAAACAAATATCATTACTAAAAAACAAAAAAAACCAAAGATTGAAAGAGTTAAAAGAGTTAAAAAAGAAAAAATAGTAAAAGAAAAAAAATCTGTTGGAAGACCAAAATTTCTTCCAACAAAAGAAAAAATAGAAAGAGATCCTAAATATGATTATCTCACAAAAATTAGAACAGATCCATGGGGAATTAAACTTACTAATATGGAAACTGGTGAAGTTAAAAATTACAAATCATTTTATGACTATAATAAAAAAGAAAAGCGCTCTAAAACTTATATTTTTAGTAGAAATGGGAACATTGTAGATGGAGTAAAAATTGAAATAATTAGAGCAAGTAAAGAAAAAGATGCATTATCACAAAAATAAAATAGATAATGAAAAATAATTTATTTTTATAGACTTTTCTATAAAAATATAAAAAGAAAGCGTTTTTTGTATTATTTAATTTTCTTTACATAAAAAATAAAAAATTGAAAATGATATAAATAATTTTCTTGTGTATATAAAAATGGCAAATAGAAGCGTAAAAGAATTAAAACAAATCGCAAGAGAGCGAAGAATTAGATATTATTATAGAATGAGAAAAGCAGATCTCATTAGAGCAATTGAGCAAACAACTCCTATATTAGATATTCCAACCCCAAACAACATTACACAAAATACTTTAACACCCACACAATATGTTCCAATTAGTTATATTAATACTATTAAGAACAAAGTGAATTCATTTGCTAATTGGATTATAGACTATGTTCCTGAACCTATTAAAAATGTTGCTAATGAAAAACTTATATCGTTAAAGTCTACAGTTTCTAATTTGTATAAAAGATTTGGACTTAGAAAACAAATAGAATTTAAATTATCACAATCATCTCTTAAAAATGTAACTAAACAATTTTCAGCTGAAGGTGTTAAAGGATATGATGCTTTGTACTTTATGAAATCAGCTGAAAATAATGTCATTAAAATACTAAATGATAATAAAGGATCAAAGATCTATATTGTTCTTTCATGTGAAATGGAGCGTACTGATCTTAAAACAGGAGAAACTATAACAACTATTGCATCCTTTTCAACAAAAGCAGAAGTCGTATTAGAGTCAACAGATTTAAATGAATTCTATGAAAGAGCTGAACAAAAAATTTTAGAATCCTTGTCAGCATTTCAACAACTAGGATCAAGTTAGAGATTTGTATCGGTTAAAAAGATGGATATAAATATCATTGAATATAAGCCTATTAAAGGTAAATCTTACATTCCTCTTCCTAAAGAGTTGGCAGCTAAAAAAGCAATTATTAATATGAAGAATGAAGACAATGAATGCTTTAGGTGGTGTGTTGCTAGATTTTTTAATCCTAAAGAAAAAAATTCTGAAAGAGTAGATAAAGATTTAAAAGAACAATCTGAGAAATTAAATTGGGAAAAAATAAAATTCCCAGTATCACTACAACAGATTACTTAATTTGAGAAAAATAATCAAGACATCAGTGTTAATGTCTATGGATATGAAAATTCTGTTTACCCTTTACACATATCTAAAAATATTAACAGACAACATCAAATTGACTTGTTACTCATTTCTAATGATGAAACCAATCATTATTGTTTAATAAAAAGTTTAAGTAGATTACTTTCATCACAAACATCAAAACATGGTCATGAAGTAGTTTATTGTAGAAATTGTTTATTAGGATTTGATACTGAAGAATCTTTGTCAAAGAATAAATTGTATTGTGATACTCATGATTCAGTACGAATTGAACTTCCAAAACCAAATACAATGATTGAGTTTAAAAACTATAACAAGTCTATGAGAGTGCCCTTTGTAGTCTATGCAGACTTTGAAAGTTTTATAAAACCAATCAACACTTGCTCACCTAATCAAATGAATCTTATACAAAGCAATACTAAAAGCATACACCTAGTTCATTTTGCTACTATATTAAATGCTTTGATGAAAAAATATATCAAAGTAAACTAGTTACATTCACTGCAAGTAATGAAGATAAAGATGTTGCACAAAAATTTGTTGATATGCTAGAAGAAGATGTAAAAAAGATTTACAACGATTATTTAAAATTTCCAAAAAAGATGATATTTACTATGAAAGACAAAATTAATATTGATAATGCAAAAATATGTCACATTTGTGAAAAAGATCTTAAGGAAGAGATTAAGTACGAGATCATTGTCATATTACTGGAAAATATAGAGGTGCTGCACATAATGAGTGTAATTCACAATTTAAAAATCCAAAATTTATTCCAGTACTATTTCACAATTTATCTGGTTATGACTCTCACTTGTTCATAAAGAAATTGTCAGAAGGAGGAAATATAAATTGTATACCCCACAATGAAGAAAAATATATTAGCTTTTCTAAAGAACTTAAAGTAAATGAATTTATGAATAGAGAAGGTAAAAAAGTTGAGGTTAAACTGTATCTACGTTTTCTAGATAGTTTTAAATTTATGGCTGCTAGTTTAGATAGTTTAACTAAAAATTTGTCAAAAGATCAATGTAAAAATATTAGTAGATACTATTCTGGAAATGAACTCAATTTATTGTTAAGAAAAGGTGTTTATCCTTATGAATGGGTTGACTCTATTGATAAATTAAATGAAACACAATTACCACCAAAAGAATCATTTTATTCAAGATTAAATGATGAAGGAATAAGTGATGAAGATTATTTACATGCTCAAAATGTATGGAAAGAGTTTAATTGTGAAACATTCAGAGATTACCATAATTTATATAACGAATCTGATGTATTATTACTAGCTGATGTCTTTGAAAATTTTAGAGATGTCTGTTTTAACAATTACAAATTAGATCCTGCTTGGTACTATACAGCACCAGGATTAGCTTGGGATGCTGCGTTGAAAATAACAGAAGTAAAATTAGAATTATTAAGTGATTATGATATGATCTTAATGATAAAAGAAGGAATAAGAGGTGGAATTAGTATGGTTCCTAACAGGTTAGGAACTGCTAACAATAAATATATGGAAAATTATGATGAAAGTAAAGAATCTACTTACATACAGTATCTAGATGCAAATAATTTATATGGGTGGGCAATGAGTAAGCCCTTTCCAACACATGGATTTGAATGGATGGATGAAGAAGAATTAAAAAATTGGAAATCTACTTCTTGCATATTAGAAGTAGATTTAGAATATTCTAAACATTTACATTAATTACATAATGATTATCCACTTGCTCCTGAAAGATTAAAAATAAACAAAGTTGAAAAATTAGTAACTAATTTAAATCATAAGTAAAATTATATCATACACTATGAAAATTTAAAACTGTATGAAAGATTAGGAATAAAATTAACAAAAATTCATAGAGGAATAAAGTTTGAAGAAAGTGCATGGTTAAGTAAATACATTAAACTCAATACAGATCTAAGAACAAAAGCTACAAATGACTTTGAAAAAGACTTTTTTAAACTTATGAACAACTCAGTATTTGGAAAGACAATGGAGAACATTGAAAACAGAGTTGATGTGAGATTAGTTTCTAAAAAAGAAGAAGCTATTAAATTAGCATCAAAACCAAATTATGAAAGTAGAACGATATTTGATGAAAATTTAATAGCTATTCATATGAAAAGAACAAAACTAAAATATAATAAGCCTATTTATTTAGGTATGTGTATTTTAGATTTAAGTAAGACTTTGATGTATGAATTTCATTATGATTACATAAAAAATAAATATGGAGATAAAGCTAAACTATTATATACAGATACAGATTCATTAATCTATGAAATAAAAACAAAAGACTTTTATGCAGATATTGCAAATGATATTGAAAGTAAATTTGATACAAGTGAATTTAATAAAGATCATCCAGCTGTTCAAAATAGATTTAAAGTAGGTGTAAATAAGAAAGTAATAGGAATGTTTAAAGATGAGTCAGCAGGAAAACAAATCACAGAATTTATAGGACTCAGATCAAAATTGTACTCTTACAAAATAGATGAAGAAGATAAAAAGAGATGTAAGGGAGTAAAGAAAAATGTAGTAAAAAATTATATTACACATGAAGATTATAAAGATTGCCTTATAAATAGAAAAGATCAAATGAGAAAAATGAATGTCATAAGATCTCATTGTCATGATGTTTATACAGAAGAAATAAACAAAATAGCATTGAGTGCAGAAATATAAACAAAATAGCATTGAAAAATAAACAAAATAGCATTGAGTGCATGTTAAAAGAGTAATTCAAGAAGATGGTATTCACACATTAGCATATAGACATTTCAAACTTAAATAAACAGGCAAGCAGGCAGGCAAACACACAGGTAAGTTATTTTTTATATCTAAAGAGATCTAAAAAAATCTAACGAAGTAATAAAAATGGACAAACATATCAATGTTGAAGGAATTATATTACCCAATGAAGCCTTAACAAACTTTCAATTAATAAAAGCAGCAAAAAAATTAAAAATAAAAAATTTTAGAGGTGTATTTGTAAGAGAGGAATTAC